CCATGGACCATCTAATATGTGTTCCTTAGAGTTCTGTATGTATTTCAGTCCCTCTTGGGTGACTAGTTACAGGCATGTGTGTGTGTGCATTTAAGAAATAAAGACAAAAGGAAAGAAGCAAACACAACCCAGTATATGAACATGAGTTTGCCCTTCAGGAGCAAAGAGCAATTTCATTCACTTTGTGGTGCCCATTTAAGAGCCTTTTCCCAGGAAATGACCGGATAGTAATGTAAGTGGTCAGCTGGCTCCTAGACCTGGCTGTATTAGTGCCCGGAAGTGGAGAGGGCTTTTCTTAACAAGCCGAGTGCCCTCTCTGTGTCTCTGACCATTGTGCTCCTAAATACTTTCATCTTGAGATGCGTCTGGGAATCTCTGGCGGTAAACAGTGGGGGAATGAACGTGTAAAACAAGCAATGTGATGCAGCGCACTGCTGTCAGGTCGCACCCGACTCATAGCAACCCCTCCTTGGGTTTCCGAGGCGGTATCACTATACAAGCAGATTGCCCCATCTTCCTTCTGAGGAGTGGCTGGTGGGTTTGAACCACCAGGCTTCTGTTTAGCAGTCAGATGCCTTAGGCACTACACCACCAGAGCTCCTGTAAAGCAAGTATTCAGGCTTACTTTGTGCAGAAGTGGGCATCTCGTCAACATCTACAGACCAAACCGGAAAAAACAAAACAAAAAAAAGAACAAGCCCCCTGCCATCCAGTCGATTCTGACCTATTGACAGAGTAGAACTGGCCCATATGGTATCTGAGGTTGTAAATCTTTTGGAAGCAGATTTCCCCATCTTTTTCCTGCAGAGTAGCTGGTAGGTTCGAACCACTGACCCTCTGGTTAGAAGCCCAATGCTTTCACCTCTGCGCCACCAGAGCGCCTCTGTAGACCAGCTGGTTTAAATCAAGGCTGGGTGGAGCTGGTTCTGCTGACAGGAAAACCAGCTGTGCGGAGCTGAGTCGGACTCATGCCGACCCCAGGGGTGTGCAATACAGCTGTGCTCCACAGGGTTTTCAGTGGTGGATTTTTCAGATCACCAGGCCTGCCTTCTGAGAAGCCTCTGGGTGAACCTGAACCTCCAACCTGGCAATTAGCCACCAAGTGAGTTAACAATTTAGACCACCCAGGGGTCCCTGCTAAATGGAGTAGACAGTCACGTTTATCATTGGAATTACCTGAGGGTCCATCAGAACTGTCAACAGAAAATCCACAGCAAGAAACAAGATCATCATTGTTGGTACTATGGTTAGCAACAAGCCCTTAAGTAACTTACGGTGATGAAAAGGTAAGTATTTACCACTGTGACCTCATTTCATCCTCACAATCTATGCGAATGGGGATTACTCATCTTGGAACTTTATTGTTGCTATTCTTTATTACCACCATTTCCCTGCCCTTAAAGGGCACATTAAACCCAGAAGTTCTGAAGTTTTTAGAATACTCAGCTTATTATAAGTTGGGTAACGCCTGTAACCTTCTGAAAGCACAAATATGATGACTTTCTAGGTCTTTTACTCTGAAACTTCACAAAGGAGGCATGTCAGCTGTTACTAGGCAACACTGCTTACTAGGCAACACTGCTTAAAATCAAGGTGGCCCCTGACTGGTAAGTTGCAGGCCAACTGGGAGGTCTGTAAAAATACCCAGGGAAAAACTGAGCTTTTCACTTCTTTGAATGCAGAGGCTCTTAACTGGGTGCATCCCTGTAGGGACCCAGGAAACGCTCCCTTTGTTGTTGCCCCAAGAAATACCGGCTTACATGGGGGCCCTGGAGCTTCTGAAATAAGGTGGGTCCCCTGACCTCCAATGTGAGATTCACTTCTTCGCACCTGAGATCCCACCTCGGGATCGAGAACACCAGCTGGCCGGCAGCCGTGTGCACAGCTGTCAACTCCATGCCCCCTGAAGAGGGGCGCCTGCTGCTGCCTGGCTCCACCCCTTCAGGGCAGCCCTGTCCCTGGTGGACTTGTGGGTCTGAATTTGTTGTTGAGCCCCTGAGGAGGACTCGTGGCAGGTGAGGCTCTGAGTTATAACTGTCCACAACTGCAGAAGCTTCTTGATTCTAACCAAGCCAAAAACCAAACTCGCTGCTGTCAAGTCGCTTCTGACTCATAGTGACCCCTCCTTGGGTCTCCAAGGTGGTTATCTCTACGGAAGTAAATTGCCCATTAGCAGTCAGATGCCTTAGGCATTACACCACCAGAGCTCCCCCGGAGGAGGGGTGGGAGCTCTGAATTTGGTTGCTTACAGTTAATTTACTGGAAGGAAGGAAAGGAGGAGAAAGACAAGGGAGGAAGAAGGAAAGGTTACTGTAAGACTGCCACCACTCAGAGCTGATTGTGGAGTGGGGAGAGAAATGCTAAATGGAGGAGTGCATGCATTTATCCTAAATGATCTACAGTCATACATAGCATTTTAAAATGGCATCAGATTTTAGTGTCTGGGCAATGTGGTTATTATTAAGAAATCCATTGATGATTTCAACATTCGACATAACTGAATGCTATGTAGGGTTGATTGAAAACGAACCATTCACCGGGCATCATGCAGGGCAAAGGGAACAGTGCTCATAGCATGCAGAAAGTCTGGTGTGAGATCTGCGAGAGACCCGGGCGAGTGACCCGGGGAAGGGCATGCACTTCCAGAGCAGGACTTTACCTTGTCATTACGGGATTGTGAATACCATATAAGTGATCTTTATGATAACCATTATTACCATTTTCCATACTGCAACAAAAATAAATACACCAACAAGACTATGTTATCTCTGGGATGAAGGGTTTACATCATGGATCACAAAGACAGTGTCACGGTCATGAAAAGTACGTGGCGACATGTTAAATCTACAAAGACGCTGAAAGGGTCTGTTTACATTGTGGCCTGCTTGAAGCCCAAATACAGAAACAACTACTTTGTAGATTAATTTAACATTCATATACATACATATATATGTATGTAGTTGTTCTGTGCTGTCAAGTCAGACCCAACTCCTAGCGACCCCTCCTTGGGTTTCCAAGGCGGTATCACTATGGAAGTAGATTGCCCCATCTTCCTTCC